ATTTGTAGTCGTATTAAGCCTCATTCTTCCTTAGCTGTTCATAGTCTTTTCAAACCCAATTGTATTTTTCTCTACACCAATGCGAGCTGAGTGTACTCCATACGAAATTTGAGAAAAAGACAATTACCGAGACTGTAAATGGTAATGTCAGTATGAGCGTCGGTTTGCCAATAATTGTGTGCTGTGGTCACCAGTTTTACTTCCTCCACCAGTCTGTCACCAAATAAACTCACCATGTCGCCACTACGCCCTCACAGGTTATGACATGGAACTGCAGCTGTATCGTCAGAAAGGAAAAGAAGGCAAAAGACGTACGTTGATAAATGCTACGGAGAATCTGGCGACATCCAACCAACCAACCAACCAACCAACCAACCAACCAACCAACCAATCGCATCATCCAAGCGACAACACATTAAACATGCAGCGACAGACAGAAGTCACTCAGAAAAATAACGGGGAAGTAAAAAAAAAAGAATGGCCAAGAAAAATTTAAAATCCATAAACTCTTTCCTATCTGCGCGCGCGCCTAATTCTCTTGCATAATCTGTACCATCTAAGGCGCAAAAATCAAATCATTCAAAGCGGTACGGCGGATTTGGTGAATTCTGTGCTCAGTAGCAACCGTCCTCTGGAAAGTCGATGTATGTAGCCTCATCGATCACCTGCATTTGACAAACAAACAGAACACAAAGCAAACCAAAAATATGACAGGCAATCATCTATGAGAAAGACAAGGAAGTGCAATGAAATAAACTATGAAACACGTCCATCAGTTTGGTAAACATAGGATATTGGGATTTTTTTCTTTTACACAACCAGGAATTACACAACACAACAGAACACAATACCACAACTAGTCAGACTAGAATCATAGACACATGTCTTTCAACCACTCCAAAAACTGTCACAGTCTAAATCAACCGTCATACAATATATCACTAATCTACATAACATTTACGTGTAAACGTCTATAGAAATACCATCCCACTGTCCGTCTGTGTCTTGTGTAGTAGTGGTTGACTCGTCAAACTTTGGCGCGGGGTTGACTTTTTTGACAGGGGTGTTTCATTCCCCCTGGATTTCTTTGACTAGGGTTTACTCCCTAGGACTTCTGTGCAGGGGTGTCTTCCCTGGGTGTCTGTGCAGGGATTTCCTTCCCTGTATTCTCGTACTTATAACGTTATATAATGTAACACCAACCTATTTATGTAACTTCATGCCAATATAAAAGGTACAAGTGTATTCAGCAAACTAATGTTAAGTCATGGTTATATACGTATTGATATCACATAAATAATAAACAGGCCATACAAAAAGTCGAACAGAACAGCTGAATAACAAAAACAAATCAACTTCACAGAATCTACACCTTTGTACATATGACAAACTTCAAAGCATTCACGTGCACGAACACTGCAAAAAATCAGACTAAAAAGATCTATGAACCTCAAACATTATACAACTTGCAAATATATACATACATGGCCATTGGGCATCACAAAATCTGAACTCAAACATTAGCAAAACCAAAAGTAACAATTCAAAGATGTCTACGTCCATACATATTGTATGTTTATCAAAGAAGCATACATGGAAATTGCAAATTCTCAAACAGATCGACACACAAAATCGCCGCGCCGCGCGCCTGCGAAGCTGGGTTACACCAAGGGGTGGTTTCACCGGCAATTAAGACACAGATTCAAGAAATACAAAATAAGCCCAATTTCACAAATTATTCAAGCGCCCCTCCCTTACTTGTTAAGTCGCGAATAAAATGACAACACGTCAAAAAAACCAATAATTTACTAATAGAAGCCCCAGGACTAACTTGTACACTCAACTTGCAATTGCTTCTGCTGGTCTTCACGATCGGAGCTGTGGTCACCAGATTTCCCCCGACCAGTCACGAAACTACATCCTCTCAGTTGGCGGAACTGTGTTGTCAGAAAAAGAAAGAAAAGAAAAACGCGTAGGTTATAATTAATGCTAGATACGCTGTGCAAAATCACCTTGGTCCATCCATGCACATCCAGGCAACATTCAACTATGTCCAATCCTGTACAAGACAAACTACAGCATGTACTTTTCACAAGGAGCAACATTCATCCACTAAATTATTTATTCATTCATTCATTCACTCATGCATTCATAGTTTCCATACAGTCTGGTCAGAGCTGCGGTGGCTGCTTCCTTCAACTTCTCGGCGATAAAGAAGACGTCTTCGCGTCGAATTCAGTCTTCAGGTATACGCTGTAACTGTAATGTTGAACAAAAAGAACCACGTTAACAATAAGTGTAAGATGCGATTCTAAACATTGCTGCCCGTACCCTGTACTGGGTAGACAAACTAGAATCATACAATACACTAGGAACATTACATAGAATCCATATAATATGTTTGAAAACAAACTTTTTTTTTACTTTTTTGACTTGTGCGTGCGTGCGTGAATGCGAAGTAAAGAACACTCATGTTCAACCACATAAACATTGTATATAGGACACTTTATTTAGATTACTCACTTACTTACTACACATTTCAAGCATCGAATATTTCTTCACATATTTTAGAGACATTTTGAATTTTAATGAAATATGCAAAATATTTTTTGAACTTTTGCATACCTCTTACATTCAGACACTTTATACACATTTCAAGCATCAGAATATTATATATTTTAGAGACGTTTTGAAGTGTATGTGTGCGCGTGTGTGCCAAGATACAGGCAATAGAAAGTTACGATATAGTCAAGGGGAGGGGCGCTAGCTATGGGGAAACTAACTCAAACTTACCCCATAAGACACCCAGGGGGTTCGGTACGAGCCTAACAAATTAACGTTATTTCAAAAGTTTTAGATAATCATTTTAAGAGTGGATTTTGAACTCGTTTTTATAGGTCATTTGGTATCAAATATACATTATTTACAAACTTGATACTTTATTGGGATATCCATTACTTGCACAAACTAATACTAACACGTATTACCCAAACTACCCACCATTCCCAAATGGGGCAATATAAAAGCAAAAGGCATGAGTTGGACCTGACCCCATAAGAACTACACAAGCGGGGACAGACCCCCCATTTTTTCATGAGGAGGAAAAATCGTTAGTACACTGTAATAGGAACTAAGATAAAATGCTCTATTCTAATAATAATCCATAGAATTCTATAATACTAGGTATTTGGAATTCTATGGATTTTAGTGGTGTTAATTCACATGGGTTATCATACTACCATAAAGATGCCCAAGAGCATGGGAGTGATCTAAGATGGCTCCCAGATGAGTCCCATCCTAAGAGCACAAGGAATACAATGAATTCAATAGTGTTTGTGTACGTGTGTGCAAGTGGTTGCAGAAAGAACGACACAAGTTGATGCAGTGTAACATTTTTGTTGTGGTCAAACCGCGCCGCGCTGCATGTGGGCATCACTGACATTTGGGTCCTCGCGAATTACTTTTATAAAACGCACGGGTTAAAACTATACAACGTTTACATCTATACCACGCACGCTTTACAACTATAACACCGTCGGGGGATGCGCCTTTTCGTTGCTAAGCCAGTAAACTGACTTAGCAACGAAAAGATATTGATATGAACCTTTCTGAAAAAGATTCACATCCGCGCGCTGCAAACAACATACAAGCATAAACCACAGCAATAGAATTATCACAATATCAACTTACAAATTAATACAAAAACAACCAAGCCATGTGAAATAACACCACTAAACCTGGACTAACCATGACAATATCATGTGAGGAATTTTGTGTAGCACTCACAAAATTCCTGACATATCTTCAACACATAGTCATACAACAAATCAAGAAACAAGGTCTATTGCGCGACCAGCTTTTGAGTCTCAAAAGAATTACGAACGTTAGCGCACGAATTACATATGTATACATTAAAGCGCACGAGTTAATACTATACAGCGCCCGGGTCTCCAAGTTCGCACCGCCAGCTTGAGCGTAAGCTGACAGCGTGTTTCGAGCCTCAAAATCTCAGGAATCCACGAATTACACTTATACAAGGCCAAACGCTCGAATTACATGTTTACATGAAAGCGCACGAGTTAGTGTTATAAAACGACGGGGCCTTTTTGCGCTGCCATGAGGGGAGAATAAGAGAAAGATCCACTAACCTGCTCGACTTACCTTTAACACGTTTTGGCTTGTACTAACGCTGGCCTGCTGTTCACCAACGGAGCTGATTTTGGACTATCCCTTTTGTCTCTACAGGTAAGTGTTTACGTCACACTAAAAAAAATGAGGTTCGTTTTAATCGCCCAGACTATGCAAGGGACATTAGGGTCACTTTCCTGGAACTTTACAATTTTGCATTCTTTTGTACATACATATCATTTTATGACAACCCTATAATTATTCTTTGGTGCAACTGAAAAGTTATGAGAAATCTCGCTCCCCGTTTAGATGGAAACAATGGTTTCATCCAAAATTTTTGAACCTGTGCTCCACCTGTTAGATATGCAAATGTACCCACCGGCTGTGCACAACATTTGACCAACCAGAGGTTATATGGATAAGATTGAATGAACGAATGGAATCTTTATTCATTCGTAGTTAAGAAGCCCAACCCAAAGCCAGGTCAGTGTAACACTTGAGTTGTTCTTTTCAGACGCAGATACACTAATAGAAATACACACCTCCTTCTCCTTGGTATGTGGATTGCTGGACAATGTATTAATTTCCGTTGCCAATTTTGTGCGATGACTGCTCATGAACGCTACCTAGCGGTTTAGTTTAGAATTGCAGCCATACTAGCCTGTAGCTGCTCACGTTCTAAATCTCGCGAGAAATGTCGTATCGCTAGTAACACACGTTGTAATTAGCGTCTTTTAAAGCATTCACAAAGACAATATCCAGTTAGAACTACAAAGAAATAGAAATTTGCATAACAATAACATTTCTACCGTCCGTAAATTTAGGAGAAGTGAGAAGAAGTAAGGTTATGATTTTAGTCACGTGACCTGCACGAGAGTATACCGTCGCCTTGGTAGCAAAGATGGCGGATGATCCGAAAGATTCCAAGTCCTGAAAATTATGTTTGTTTTCAGTCCACATTTAAAGCTGCTGCAAGTGGCTCACGTTTAAGATTTCGGAGCCTGAGATCACTGAGCCTACGGAGTTTCAAGAGAACTTAAATTCTGGACTGTGTTGTGACGTTTTGCTGAGAAAATGCCGGTTTTTATCCGGAAGGGCGGGTTGGATATCCCCCCTCCCTCCCTCAGCTCCAGGGACAGTGATGAAGAAGAGTTCCTGACGGACCCTGAGCAGCTGTACGACCCGCTGCCACAGCCCTTCCGCATGATAGACAAGGTAAGCTGATCTTTACAGCCATAATTATGGTCCTGTTAGCCAACGTTGTCCTACAGAGAATGTCGACTGATGTTAACTTACTAGTATACATATAGAGACGGACTATGGCTTCCAGTAACGTTACATTCAACTTGAACATAACGATATGTAGTATACGCAGTTTATATTCACGACTTCAAAGTAGCAAAAGTTCGTGGTCTGAGAAAAATTGAGGTGTTCATGAAACTACATGTTATATGTTCACAGTGGGGACAGAAAAAAAAGAAAGGCAGAAAAAAAAGAAAGGCAGCGAATTATTTTGTTGTGCCACTACTAATACTTAACTTAACTTGATATCGGTTGTCCATTTTGAATAATGTAAAGAAAACGTGAAGAAGTCATAAATGTATCATGCTATGGTAACTTATATGTTATAAGGAATCTGGGCGCGATGCCCAATCAGGGGCTTTGCCCAGTAACAGATATAGAATCCCAGTTTTCACCCACCAACCCCCACCCCCGTCCTGCCTGTGCAGGTGCTGTTCCAGCTGCTTGAGGATGTGTGGGACGTGGCCAGTCAGCGGGAGGCAGCACGCATGCAGGACGGCAGCAGGCTCCGACCTCCACTGTACCAGTGTCCTGTACAGATGCAGGTAGGCTTACTGTTCAGCTACCCACGTAACCCCCATGTATGAAAATATGACAGAATAGTAGTCTAGTCTTTCGTCGGTGACTAATCTCCCACTGCCTCCTGGGAAGAAGTCAAACCTTGGCTACAATAGTATTCTAGTAGAATAGCAGGCTCAGAATAGCAATTACCATGTCTCCTATTTATGTGAAGCATATCGACTCTCTAGCATGTATACCAGTGTTATGTTAGTTTTAAAGTAGATAGTAAGTTAGATAGGCAGACTGTATAAGTAGAACTCCATGTTAGCATAATTATAGTCTTAAATTCACCACATTCTGTATTCATTGTTTTTGTCAATGTCTGTTTGCAATTAGCCCGAGGGCACGAAGTTGCAATAAAGAACTCTATAAACCTGCCTTTCTGACAAGTAGATACAGTGTCACTGACAAAAGGGAGTCTCAGTTACTGATCGACTAACAAAGAAATACTTGTAACTATCTAATCATATGAATGCTATTTCCCCCAAAGGAGCATGGTAAGGCCCACTGTGTGGCCCACAGTGTGGATGGACGGTACATTTTTGTCGGCCTGCCGACCGGCCTGGCAGCCTTTGACGCCGTGAGTCAGGTGACCTTGGCGGTGTGGGAGGAGACTGTAGAGGTCACCAGTCTGAAGGTCAGCCTGGTCGGGGTGCAGACGTACCTGCTGTCCACTGTGGACGACATGGGTAGGTTACATGTAGATGGTACACTTAACACTTCCGCAGAACGTACAATGCCTGCACGAAACCCGTTATGTATTGTGCATAGCACTTTGGGAGAATGCCTTATATAAGATCATATTCACACATATAAGGTCAACACTCCGTCTGTCAAAATATTGTCTGTAACAGGCAAAATGCTGATGTAACGTTAACCAAAAATCCAACGAAAAACTGGGGGTTTTGGGCATGAGGCGCAGTACGTTCTGCCAACATGCATGCTAGGTGGGGAATCTGTACTCTCTGCAAAGAATTGTGTACTTTAGTGTGGTGCACAACAAGGTGTGACTCAACATTAGAATTTTGTGTCGTGTAAACTATGATCAGTGTAATTCTACAGAATACTACATGTACTTACGTTACAAAAGTGTCCTATGTACTTTCTGCTGCTGACAGTGTTTTTAATTACCAACCGACAGGTGCCTCCCGTCTGCTGTTGTTCTCAAACGAGAGGTTTTACTTCATCAAGCAGCTTAACGAGCAGGTTTGTCCAGCCTTTCATCTCTTTTAAAACACTCATGTATGTAAGGCTAGCTGGTAAAGTTATGCCATTATGGACTAGAAACTTTGTAAAGCAAATGCACAATGTTTACCTTTGCATATGGTCTGCTCTGATAATTCTTAAACACATTATATATGGTCAGACTGGAGTCTAAATCCCTCCTGCTATAAAATTGCAACATGGTGTAACCCAACACTAGTTACCATGGTGACAGATGTCTGGTTCAGGTCATTGACCTTATTGGTTTGGAGAAGAAGAAGAAGAAGAGGAAACAGAGCAAAAACACTATTTTTCCTGCGGTAAACATAACAATTACATTTTTTTTGTCATCTCATTTTTGTTTGACATAACATCATCTCAATCACTACCCAACAATCCTAGGGGTGTATGTTCCCAAAAATTTTGACATCTTGACCCTCTGAAACGATACTATTTTCTGTATTTTGAGGGGCAAATCATGCTGGTAGACTATTTAAGCTTAGTTGAATGACATCTCTTTCCATGCCATTTATTTTCTTTCAACTCAAGGATGACAGATTGGGTAAAATTGTTGTCCGTCATGAGTGGCAAAATTCTATCAAACGATGGAAAGATGGATGCTGGTTAGAACACTGTTCAAAAAGCACACACTCAGCTATAAAATCCGTGTAACTTTGATTATAAGCTTGAAGACTTGTTGTTGTGTTTCTTACAGGAGGGCACTATCACGGTAAAGTGTGAGCTGTCATCAGAAGGAGACTATGTTGGAGTTGCCCTTGAGAGTGAGTTTGCATCAAGCTTTTTGTATGAATAATATGATGAACAACAACTTGTTAAATTAAATATAGCAGAACCCTCTATGGGTATTTCTATACCTGTAGTTAGGATGCCATGCTGCATGCCTGTGAAGCTGGCGTGTTACGCCAAAGGGCGGTTATACCGGCCATACAGGTACAGAATTAGACTAAATGACACAGTTGTGTGAAGTTTGTTCTCTGTGTTCCAGATAAGGAGAAGGAGGTTTGGCTGGAGGTTCACCGCCTGCCCAGGGATGGCTGGCTGAGAGAGCTGGAGCAGGCTCAGGCACAGGCACTCAAGGCTGCGTACGCTGCATCCCAGGTCAGTACAGCTTCTCAGCATTCTGTAAAAAGCTCATACTAGTGTATCCACTTTTGACACTTGGGTCTTCTTAGTAAAATATGTAAATTACTGTTCTAGCCAGCTAGTGTCTTTCTGTCATTTGACAGAATTTTGCTGCTCATGATCATGACGGATAAGAATTTTGCCCAATCCTTATCATTGATGGCCCAAAAATGCTGCATAAAGATATAGTAAGATGTGTAACAGTTATTCAACTAAGCTTAGTCTACCAGCAGAAGTTGCTCCTCAAAATGTGGGAAATAGCATTTTAGAGGGTCAAGATTTCAAAATTTTTCCAGTTATGTGAAACAAAGTTAAGATGATGGAAAAAGATTTCAAGGCTGGCCGTTGGTTAGAAACTTACAGTTAGCTACAATTATGTCTCTCCCCCTGCAGGACCAGTCTACTTATGGAGAAACAGCCGCGGAGACGTCTGAAGGCCAGGCTACGGAGGGGGAGGAGGGCAGGAAGAGCGGTGCGGGGACGCCGACCTCCGAGGTGCCCAGACAGACGCCGTCTGCAGGCCAGGGTAGCATGCTGGCAGGACCTGACATCAAGTTCTCACCTCCACAGATGGTCCTCAGAGTACGCCCACCACCTGAACTTACAGGTATGTAACACACCTGGCACCTGAACTTACAGGTGTGGAAAATGTTACTATATTTGCCTCTGTGCAGTATAACCGCCCCTCGGCATAACACGCCAGCTTATTCGCAGGCTCGCGGCACAGTGGCAGCTCGCTACATTACACTGAATGACTTGTTACACCTAACCTTTGAACTGTACTTGATGGCAGCGAGTGTTCTAGGAAAAAAAAAGAGTTTTTGAACACCTCAATCCTTGGTTGATAACTCTCACTGGTACTTGAAGGCATGGCTACTTCTTGTTCTCTTCTGAGATGGTATTAGGTAAAAATGCAGCCCATGTTGTACGAGTACTGACCGTGTTGTTGTACGTATTGACATACGACACAGGCAGCAGTGCTAAGAGCGCGTATGACGCGTACAAGTCCGTGGACCTGGGTGACGTGATCGGTACGGGAGGGAACCACGTGCTGCTGGCGGAACATCTGAACCAGAGGAGGGCGGTGTTTAATGCCGTGCACGAACAACAGATCCGACACCTGCCGCAGGAGGAGGAACAGGCCACTAGGTGACGGGTGTTTCTGTCGTGTTTTACCTTTGTCAGAAGGTTATGGGTTATGGGTCATGTGTAGAGGATGGCGATTTTAGACTGCCGTGGTTATAACGTGGGGTGTGCTGCGTGTATCTTTTATCTTATATTTGGTAGGTAGGTTGGGGTTTGGGGCAACAAAGATCAAGGTCAATTTTGGATGATTGAGCGGCTTTGAACTGTACTGCAGTGCATGTTGGGGTCATGATATGGTCTTGATTTTTGAGTGGGACATAGGCATTTTGATGAAAGGTAGCTTTTAATGTTGTAGGATGTGTTTTTATAACACTTTGTTGGTAGGTTGGGGTTAGGAATAAGAAGGTCAAGTTTGATAACGGGTATTCTAGTTATGGTGACAGTTGGCTAACCTGGACTGACGGCAGTGCTGTTCCCACAGGACTCCGACATTCCACTTCCTACATGGAGGGCAGATGTTGCCGGCTGGCCTGGATAACGTGACCCAGGCCGGACAGGTCAACTCGGTGTGTGTCCGCTGGAGCGGCTCCAACAACCTGGCTCACTATTCACTCCTCAAGACTGGCAAAGGTAAGGTTTACCCACTCATATTTCTCATGATTAGCTGGAATGTTGCTGATGGAAAACAGTCTCTTGTTTTAGCTATTTATGGGCAGCACTCAAAAAAAATAAGGAGACGGCTCACGTATATGTTACTTTTTTTGTGGTTAATAGTGTTTCAAACACCTCAAGTACTATTTATGAAATGATGTTGAAAATGTGCCAAGAAATAGCAGTGAACGTCAATATTTTACAGATTTTTTTAATCCAGAATATTCTTTGTTTTGCTGCCTTGAAGTTGTATTTTATGCCTTTGATCTGTATAACTGTTTATTTGCAGACCTTGAGCACAAGCCAGACCTGGTGTGGCCCAACACCTGCAGCATCACGGCCACTGCTGTCAGCTCTGACACCTCACTACTGGCCGTGGGCCTGGCAGACGGAACCCTCACCGTCTGGGACAAGTACTTAGGTCAGCAGTCATGACTAGTCAGGGCTGTATCAACTTTGAAATAATAATAATATAAATTTGTCAATTTGTCTATGAAGTCCAGAATGATAATGATCGAGATACCAAGGTGAGCATCTGAATAGTTTTTTACGAGTCATTATTTATAGATGTACACAATATATCTTGAAAACAGTCTGACAGATGTTTCAGACTGTGACCTTTCATCTGAGTGACTGTACAATTTGTCATCATAAGGACTTGAATATACACTTACTAGAGGAGTGCAAACAACCCACCCACCCACCCACACAGACACACACACACACACACACAGGCAGACACACTCATCTCTCCCTGCTGTAGCATCTTCTGAATTCAGAAACACACCCTCATACACTGTGACCCACACACCCACCCCAAAACAGTACTTCTCTCCCTGCCCTATCAGCCTAGTCTTTTTACTGTATTCTGATTGCAGACTGAACACAAACTCACACACGCACATTATGATTATACTTTTCTCCCTGCCCTGTATAGCATCTGTGTAGTACTACTCATTCCTAATTCTGACATTCTGACTGCAGGCTTACAGAAGTGTGTGAAGAAACTGAAGACCCAGGGCAGTGTCACCTACCTGAGCTTCCTGAACCCGTCCGTGCTGCCCAACACGCCCCCCTCCCACCCCCCGTATGACACCCCCTCCTCTGCAGCCGTGCTGGCAGGCTGTAGTGATGGGGCTCTGTTTGTGGTCAGGTGTGGGCAGGGGGAGGAGGACATGGAACCTGTCACGGTTCTAGACAGGTGAGTTACACACTTTCATGGATGTCCTACATGGATTGTGTTGTATACCTTTATAACTAAAAGGGTGACATGTATAACACAACACAGTGTAATTTCTGTATCACCCATAGTTATCACATGAGCCAGAAAACCTATACTGAATGTTATTGCACCCCAGGTGTGACATAAAGTAAGTTAATTAGCGTTAATTAGCGTTAACGTCTCTCCTACATTCTCATGCCCAGCTCCAGTGATGACACAGAGAGGTTCACCACAGTACAGGTTATCCCTGCCATCCCTCAGGTGGTGAGTATTGTAATATGGAATTATATTATAATCTAACATAGTCTGTTCATAATCACGAGTTAGTGGCTACTAATAGAACAGTCTGGAGGACAGTCATATCTTGGAGACAGCACCTTAATGCTGCAAGGGTCATATGTCACAGAGCAGTAGCAATGGCAAACTCAATACACTACCTGAAACCTGTATATGACTGTCTCTTGTCACATGATAATCACATCAATAATTCAAGTGACAAGAAAACTCCAAGACGAGATATTTACTGGGTTGAAGAAGAGACAGAATGCATCTCGAAAGCTCCCCAGGGTAGCTAACTTTTTGTTGTGTGTTTTGTTATAAATATTTGTCAAAATTCAATTTTGTTTGGTGTAACATCATGTCAAGCACCAGAGCCACAACAATCCTAGGGGGGGCCAGGGACGTGCCCCCGAGAAAAAATTGAAATTTTGACAGTCTGAAATGCTATTTCCTGCATTTTGAGGGGCAGTTTGGCACTTAACTTGGTTTAATGACATCCCTTTCCATATGATCTTCATATGCCAATTTTTGGCTGTCAAAGATGACAGATTGGGCAAAATTTTTGTCCATCATGAGCAGCAACATTCTGTAATGTCAGCTACAACATTGGTGTGAATGAAGACTTGCCTTGTTCCCAGGTGCTGTGTGTGCGTAGGAATGGGCAGATGCTGATGTATGATGTACTGAAGAACCTTGTGTTGTGTGAGGTCGGCCTCCCTTCCACACACTACCTGTCCTCCCCCTGGGAGCCCTGCTGTGTGTTTGGGGCGGACGGGCAGATGCTCTATGCTAAAGGTGAGTTGTGGACTGTTGTAGACTCCTTTGCAGGCTTTCATGGTGTGGTCAATGTTATTTGTTGGGGATGCGGTGCTGATTTGCACTATTTTCTAATTTGTACTATTTTCTAATTGGCCAAGTTTTCCAACCGCACACTCATCTCTTATCACAAATAGTAGATTGCATGCACTTCTGCCGACTGCTCCAGTGATGCCTGCAAAGGAGGCAAAGGAGACTGAAGCAGTTGGTTGGGAATTAAAATATTTTAACATGTAATCATTGCTTGGGACGGCAAGCTGTTAGTGGTTGACAGTCAATTTTTACCATCTAGAATTTTATACATTGTATTGTGTGTATATTTATTTGAAAAAAAGATTCTTTGCAAATTGCAATGTATGCTTTTAACTGCCGTTGTGCTTGTGTACCAACTCAAGCACGTTTGTGTACCAGGCCTTTGCTAACTCCCGCCATATTTTTGACAGGTTCCCTGTTGGATGCTGATGAGGAGTACGTCCCTGGCAGTGGTACCAGCTCCATGTTTGTGTACCAGCTGCGCTCCTTCCCCACGCTGGACAGCTATTGGAGGAGACAGTCGGAGCCCCGCCCCTTCATCACACATGTCACCGTCAACAAAAGGTAACTCCCACTTCTGACCTGTTCTCTTGTACATGATTTAATTGATTTGATTTTATTGAGATTGTAAGTTTAATGGGTTTGAGGCTGAGGTTTTTACAGGCTGGATGCCAATCCTAAGCCCATCCTCCGCAGAGTCCAAACATAATGCGAGTGGGTGAAATGAAAACAAGTCGGGCCAAAAAAAACAAGGTTCTTACATTTTAAAATTTTGACTCAATCATTGTACAAATGGTTTTTATTCAGTGGGAACATCACATGCACACAACCAGCATCACATATCACTGCATCAATGTAAGAAACAAAACATTAAATCAGAGCCTTTTCTTGTCTCCTCTCTTCATAGTTACATGTATCTGCCATCCACCTTCCAGAATGGCAACAGACATCTTTGCCTATTTTCGGCATGTTGATCAATGTCAGAAGGCAACAAAATTTCTTGTTTTTCCAAAATCAGGCAAAAATTAATGCGCGTGTTGATGTCATCCATAAAAATTACTTGCTGTGGCCTAATGCCAAACCTTGTTGTTTTATTCCCGTTTCCCGTAGATGTGATGCGCTGTTACGGGAGCGTCTGTCGCGGCAGAAGGATCGCGTGGCGCGGATGCAGGAGCGGTGGAACGACCTGCGGACGGAGATCGACGTGGTGACCAGGTTCCGCCAGGCCGGACAGACACGGCAGAGGGTCAAGGTCGCCTTCGCTTCACGATCATGAACTGGACGCACCTAACAATACATGGCAGCTGATCGCAGAATGCTATCATAATTTGTATCAGATTCTGTATTTTTTGGTATAGTTGGTACATGTATAACCACCCTTTGACATAACACACCAGCTTATATGGACGGAAATATAGGTTATACCAATGAAACACATCAATGATCATCTATATAATAGTACACGTACAAATGTATGTGTCTACAGAATTTTGCTGTGCAGTTTACACTGTGTAAATAAGGGCCCATTCATTAAGACGGCATTTTGTCTTTTAAAAATGTTGTCAAAAAAGCAAAAAAAAATTAGCATTTCAATTAGCACTGTAAAGGTTTTTATTAGTGAATGTAAATTGGTTTTGAAATAAAAAGGGTCTTACATGTATGATGCAAAGTACTCTGCTGTAATTTTGTGTATTATAGGGTAATGAGGCATACATGTACATGTGTATATTACACTTCTCATTTTATTTCTTCATTTCTTGAAAAGTTGGAAATAAAAGTTTGAAATAAAAATATATGGTGTTCTAAAGTATGATTATCTGTAATTCAAGAAAATGCAACAGAATGCAATATTAAGAATTTCAAACACGTGAATTTGAGGAGAGTCCCTACTTTCTTATGTGATGTGGCATCCAATGCAATTTCATGGTGGCAAAACTGCATTTTTCAAAGTCAATTTTCTGGTCATTCTTTTATTAGTTTTTAATAAATGTAAGATTCAATCCTATCCCATAGCATACTGATAGCTGCTTGTTTTGTACTGTAAGCTGGTTCTAGCTATAAGCGATACCCAAAAATAGACGCCTCACATAGCTTGTCTTGGGGTTATTTCAAACGCTTCAGTTATGAAATAATCACAAAAATGTGATAAGAAACGGCAGTAAATGTTAATATCAGGCAGAACATTTTTTTTTGCCATCTTTGAATTGCAATGGATGGCTTAAACATGTAGGGTGTTACCAGACAACCTGAGGCATACATTGTATGTGTGCTTTGTACTACAAGTACCTACCAATCTGCATGTGTGAGCCTTTGGCTTAGGCTACACCAATTTAATTTCTTGGCTAACGGATTTTTCTAGAAAAATAATGGAACGGCCGGGCAAAAATAAAAAATAAAAACAGGCCTAGGCATCCTATTATGGCCCAAAATGGTATGATAGGAGCCATGATGTCAACACACCAGGCTGGTTCAAAATTTAAACAATGAATTTTGAACTTTTAATGATACCACTGCATTGAAAGATGGAATAACTGTTACACAACTAGGAAGAAAATGACTGTTTCCAACTGTTCAGGGCAAAATATGAGCATTTTGCAGTTGATTCCGAATTTTTTTTTTTTGCAAATCAGAAAAAAAATGAAGCGGGCTAATCCGTTAACCAAGAAATTACATTGGTGTGGCCTTAGTGCCTGACATGGGAGAGTTGTGATAAGGCTTACGGGTCAGTAACATCGACTGTGTAGGGCAGGGACAGGAAGGGGGACACGGGACGGAAAGTCGGCAGGAAAGCAGGGACTTAGTCCGGTGTTTTTGTGCCTAATATAAGTTGACTTTACTTCTGTGTAGCTTGGAGACAACCTTGGCACTTTGAAGGCTGAACATGTAAAACTGGGTTTTCAATGTCAATCTTCTGGTCATTTTTTTCCATCAAAATTGCTATGTCACTGACGGAAAACTGTAATAGTTGCTTATTTCATATGGTAGGCTGCTTCTAGCTATTTCTCGGTGGCACCAAAAAATAAAGGGACCCGGACTCCGCTCACTTACCTTGGTTTTTTGGCTATTGCAAACGCTTCAAGTATGAAATGAGCACGAAACGTGCTACGAAATTGCAGTATATGTCAAAATCAGACAGATTTCCTCATCCATGCAGAGTATTTATTTTATTTTTTGTTTTGCTGCCCTAAATTCTTTTTTTCTTTGCTTCTTTTTTGCTGCCCTTCATGGCCTTTATATCCATCCTTACAGGTGCTATAGCCCATTGCGTGTTTGAATCCTGCAATACATTTTGTAGTCGTTTCTATACTACATGTATTAGGACCTATCTGACCTAGATAGTCTCATGTAATACATTCAGGAGTGTACTTAACATTCTACAACGCCACCACATCGGGCATTGACCTATCAAAATAATACATCACAAAAGGGCATTGACCTTCCAAAAGCATACATCCTCGACAAAGTCCGTTCAAAAACCTTCCAAGAATTCATATATAAAATGGACGATATTGATTCTCATTCGGCTGTAGATGCTTCCTACAAATAAAGGAACTGTTGTAAATGAAACCATTATGATAGAGTTAAATGATACAAAAATGAAGTAGAGAAAATTCGGGCTATTAGAGTTCTGGCTTGCATGAATTCAGCTGATTCCGGCTCGCTCCCGCATTTTGTTTTGTAGATTTAGGTTAAGTGCTTTTATTTTGCATAGCAGTGTTGCAAAAGCAGCTTATCATATAACGGGACCACGCACACATGTCTGATATCATGAACTCTTGTCTTAAGCAAAGACGTATGTTAGCTTAATAACTTAGCGCAAATACACCCGTATCCAATATAAGTTATCAAACATCATTGTTGGCACTTGTTGAGTAAACCGGACTCAGAATTAGTATGCATGACCTAGGGCTACGACCTGGAGTAACTTACTGTACAGTTCTAATTTGCATACGTCCTGTAGTGACCTACTTACTGTGCAAACATTCATTGGTGTTTTGTCTGCACAAGATGTGGAATACAGCCTAAAGGCGTAATTTACTATTTGGGGGCCCTGAAAGGGTTTCTGTGCTCTCCGTTTGAGATATGAAACGGATGAGTTGAAATTCGGTTACGTTGTTAGGAAACAATGATGAAATACCTTTATTGTACAGTCAAATGATATAGTAAAAAGCGTGTTCACTTGAAGCTAATACGGCAGCACCATATCTAAACGTTAACGTTTAGAAGTTGTCCTTGGAGTGAGCTTTTCGTTCAATAGCATATTCATGTTTAATAAACTATGAATTCAGTGAAAAGAAATTCGTAGCCGCCTTTGCCAGTTTTTCGCACAATGTTTACGCCCAATCGATGATAACTCTTGGAGAACTGAGTTTCGGTAGGTACCTCATATCCCACTACTATATTCCGATTTATCAGTAGGTACCTCTTACCACACTACTACATTCCGTTTTATCAGTAGGTACCTCTTACCACACTACTACATTCCGTTTTATCAGTAGGTACCTCTTACCACACTACTACATTCCGTTTTATCAGTAGGTACCTCTTACCACACTACTACATTCCGTTTTATCAGTAGGTACCTCTTACCACACTACTACATTCCGTTTTATCAGTAGGTACCTCTTACCACACTACTACATTCCGTTTTATCAGTAGGTACCTCTTACCACACTACTACATTCCGTTTTATCAGTAGGTACCTCTTATCACACTACTACATTCCGTTTTATCAGTAGGTACCTCTTACCACACTACTACATTCCGTTTTATCAGTAGGTACCTCTTACCACACTACTACATTCCGTTTTATCAGTAGGTACCTCTTACCACACTACTACATTCCGTTTTATCAGTAGGTACCTCTTATCACACTACTAGATCCTGTTTTATTGAATCATTAGCAGGTACCTCTTATCGCACTACTATAGATTCCGTTTTATCTGTAGATACCTCTTATCGCACTACTACTATCGTTATATACTGCATGTGTCGAGACATCCTTACATTGTTCCATAAAGCGGTGATCGCAATTCCCCCGGTTACAGCCCCGTCTTCGAACCGACGTCCCGACTTCTAGATCTAGGACTATGTGCACAGTAGACTATGTATGTGGGAACGGTAACAACTGATCGCATCTGTCGCCGTAAAATCTCTTAAATCGGAAGCAGCCTCCCAAGTAGTGGTCATTGTCAGCTGGAGAAAACTTCGGACGGGACGATGTTTCCGTTGTGAGCGCTCAGAATCAGTCACACCTCAGTAAAAACGGTGAGTTTCACTCTTGCTTTGACTAGTGTGCATATGATTGTCTGCAGCAAATAGAGCAAGTAAGATAACTTTCCAAAAGAAAGGAGTTCTCTTTGTGGCAGCTTGTACTTGCACTGATGTAACAGGTACACAAGAAATGTACATCGAATCGCCAGATTTGACATCCAGCTGCAGTAAGTAAGGCCAACAATAAGTCTATTTGTAGCAGAGGCGAGAGTTAGACCAGAGAGTGAGACCAGATCAACGCGGCGACAAGCAACTTAGTTCGAATATAGTACAGGGGGCTTAACGAACAGAACTACTGCGGCATTTCATGTCGTTCATTTCTGCCAAAGAAGAGTCCTAAGATTTTAAATGACAGACAAAAGCGCACAGGCGGCGAAAAGAACTCTTGAAAGCTACCTTAGACGGCTTAAATAACAGTCATTTCGGACTGTTTGATGAATGAATGGTGTGTGCAAACATTGTAGTCTGGACTGACCAGGCAAGTTTTAGAGTAATTTACAATTTATTGCTAGCGGGCCCCGGGGCTCCACATAGGCATTAATTCTATGGCTTCCTACGTGTATCGTCTGCGGTGAAAATGCACTGCCGCCATCTTCCACCAATAAAGATAATCTCCAAGACAGTCATCAACGTGGCCAGGCAGTTACAATTTGCCACTCAAAAATTGTATTTGGCCTGAAAAAAAGATACCGATACTAGAAAAGAGTTACTGTATACTTAGGCTCCTATGATATAAATTCTAAGATATGGCTGTGTAACAGACATGGACCAAAACTAGACAAGTAAATACGTAAAAAAAAAACTATACATTCATATATGTTATCATGTGGGAATTTTGAGCAAAGACTACTACATATGGCAGACTCTAAAACGTGTAGCGCATAAGATGATACACAAATGTCTTGTTATTTTGAAATAAATGTATGTAATGTAATGTAATGTAATTTTATATTAAAGGGCGATATATAAAAAAACTACCTGTGTCGGAGAGGATTTGTGAATATTACTCCTCAAATGCAGTGGAAGTCGAAAATCATTTCATCTCTTATTGTTCATTCTATGACGATATCAGAAAACAATTATTTACCACCGTGTCCAAAATACTTCCTTACTTTCCCACTATCCCCAATCACGAGAAAACAATTTCTAGTCTACTAAAATCAAAGAACCCACATATTATATCGGAAGTTGGTAAATTTGTCTTCCGCTGCCTCAAACCCAGCAAAAATAGTACCATGTATGTTGTAGCATGTAGTATAATGTTAGACGTAGTCTCTCATACCATTGTATTTTTTCATACATCACATGTTGTTTGTACCTGCAATTGGCCCTCGGGCATGTATTTGCAAGAACCTTTAAATACACTTTTAATAATCATATAATAACGCGTCCTATTCCTGTCCTGTTGTCGTGCTACAGCCGGGACGGAGTTAGTACAGCCTCCAGCCTGAGGAGGTTCAACAGACGGTGACTATGCGGGAGGGACCCTCCCCGTGTTGCTCATGTGCAGTGTTTCACTGGTTCGCCAGAAGGTAAAAACTCACGTCGACTTCAACCTAATATCCTAATACATGTATTCATAATGTTAAAGGTATCCAATCCAATTGCAGGGCGGCAACATTGGGGGGAGGGGGGGTCAAACTCAATGTTCTGTTGTTTGGAAACGGTCGTTTGTTTTGTATCATAGGCTGAATGATTCTAGTTATTTATGGGCGGTGCTAAAAAAAGAGACGCCTCAATTAAGTATGAAATGATGATGAAATTGTGCTACGAAATGGCTGTAGTAAATGTCAACATCTGGCAGATTTTCTCATACATGCATGTATAACGAACATCAATTGGACCACAACACACAACAACCAATCAAGGCATCCAATACAAGTACAAGGCGGCAAAACGAAAATATTCCGGATGAGAAAATCTGCCAGATGTTGACATTTACTACAGCCATTTCGTAGCACAATTTCATCATCATTTCATACTTAATTGAGGCGTCTCTTATAGTGCCAGACTAACATCCAGTCATCCAAACAATACGTGTTTTTACATGTTCGTGCCTTCGGCAATGACACTTTGTTCAAAATTAGATTCCACTTGTGTTACCTATGTCGTGATTAAGATTTTTATGATGAATTATTATTTTTTCTCTGTATCAGAAGAAGTCATCGACCACTAGGAGAAGAGAACTCGGCTCCCAGCAGCAGTTTCCCGTCGCCTGACTCCACCAGGCCCGGGTACCAGGTCATCCTGCCGCCCTCCCCACGCGACTACACGCGCACGGAGCCAGTCCTGCCGCAGCCCGGCCGGGACGGGTATTACACTGATAAACCCGACAGTCCTGTCCCAGTCCCACCGGGACCGGCACTGCACTAAACCCGACAGTCCTGTCGCAGCCCGACCGGGACCGCTACTACACTAAACCCGGCAGTCCTGTCGCAGCCCGACCAGGACGGGTATTACACTGATAAACCCGGCAGTCCTGTCCCAGCCCAACCGGGACCGGTACTACACTAAACCTGACAGTCCTGCCACAGCCCGACCGGGACCGGTACTGCACTAAACCCGGCAGTCCTGTCACAGCCCGACCGGGACCGGTACTGCACTAAACCCGGCATATCTGTGCTCCCCATCGGCAAGTCTCCCCATTGGAAGCTAACGCCCCTGTCGGCACACACCGACAGAATTCGTGACGTTTTGGTCGTCGGAATGAGCCTCAATAATAATTGTCAAGAACAAGAGCAGGAAAGATTGTAATTCAGATGGATCATTATATATGGAGGCCGATCCCTGGGTTGTGTATACGGGGTATAGGGCGTAACAGGCCTAGGTCGTGCAGTAATGATGACGTGCCTGTGAAGCTGGTGTGTTACTGGGAAGGGCGATATATTGTAAATTGAAGGATAGAGATGCAGATATTGTCATGTAGCCTCTTGAGTTAAAGAAATTGGCTGATTTTATTCTATGTTGAAGAAGAAAACTTGAAGATATTGACTATGAAAACAACAACACAACCCAAACAACGCTAATTCGTTCACGTGAAGTTTCCTCACTTTCGTCAAACCAAGCTAAATCTTGCTAGCATGTTATCGTAACTTAGAAAGCTTGGCATGCTTATAATGCTATATAATGGCACGGTCCCAAAAGGGGTCAGTTATTCTAATACGGTTACGGCCTGATAACCAATGGGAAATTGAGCCTTCTGATTGGCCAAGGGCTCCTTGCTATATGATAATATTCACTATACAGTGAATAACTACTTATGTAGACAAAATCAACGAGAAATTGCGAAGGAACATCCGCATATTGCAACACTTCCCTTCACAAAAAAAACAATTTTGCTAGAACTTACATGACCTGAAACGATTTACTATAAATATATCGATACAATAGATCAATACATACTACAGGCCGTCTGGGGACAGCAGGGGGTTAGATCAGGGACGTCACCAACCTGCTAATTTGAATATAAGGCCACAGCAAGTAAATTATATGGATGACATCCTCCGCAGACTCCAAATCTAATGCCATAGGGCGAAAAAAAATCAAGGCGGGCCAAAAAACAAAAGGTTCCTATATTTTCAAATTTTGAGATCATAAACTTTTTTAAACAAGATTCAGCGGCACCACCACATGTAAAGGAATGAAATACAACACTGCAACAAAGACAAAATAAAAGACAAAACATTAAATCAGAGCCTTGTCTTGTCTCCTCTCTTCACATTTATCTGTCATCAAAGTTCCGGCATGGCAGCACACATATCTACCCATTTTTGGCATGCTGTCTACTGTCAAAGGGCAACATTTTTTTTCACAATCAGGCGAAAATCAATGCGCGCGCTCGGTGATGTCATCCATAAAAATTACTTACTGTGGCCTTAGAAAAGCAACGCGTCAAAAGAACGTTTTCAAATTTATTACTTCACTCTGTAAGACGCTTGCACATAATTTTGATCGACAGCTCTAAATGGGGCATTTTGCCAGAAAAAATACCGGAGGAGGAGACTTAGTCTAGTGTTTCATACAAGTACCAAGAGATATTCGTTCCCCGAAACGACACGACAGATTTTTACCCCTTAGTCACACGTCTTGAATTTAAAAGTACCATATTACAGATGTAACGGATCCACCATGGTGCCTCGTCTCTTTCTTTCGTTCCTTCTTTTTAGTAGAGAAACAGTCTCAAGTCAAACTGCGCGCGGATGTAGCCCACAAACTCGCGCGGCCCAATCACGCACTTCCATGGCGGCGGAGAGTAGGCGACATCAACAGTCTTCTCAATCACATGTTCGCATAATCCAAGTTAATTGACAGATATGTGAAGACGTCATTCCAGGCCTGTTGCCAGACAGGATACGATATACGTGGCAAAAATCTCTGTTCTCCGAAAATTTGTTTCAGAAGACACCAAAAGACACCAGAGTAGCCAGTTCTGTATCTTTATCTACAATCCTCTACGGTACAAACTTTGAGTACTACCTCACTTCTCTTGTGCCGTGTCTTCCGACCCCGTGTGGCAGTCAGTAACAGTACCGAGAGATGCCCCGTCCTGTCATCGGTGTTCTTCTCCTCCTGGCGGCGGTTGGGCTGCTGAGTCCCCGCCGGGTCCTTGCCGACGGAGATCCAGACGACGAGTCACACGAACACGACCATGTCGGCGAACACTTGCACGGTAGGAACTCAAGCATCTAACGGGGGATTTTCCTCATATTTTGCCGCTCTTGAATTAAGACAGAGTTGACCACTTGTATCCTCTCTTGTGTAGATCACCCTGGACGTTTCTTTTTTTTTCTTCAACTCCCCACAGCTCGCTTAAAGCTACGGGGTTCTGATTGTTTTCCGATATTTAATCGCTAATTGGACAGTACTAGTAATTAGATCAGTACCTGGTAGCTATCTGTGGAGAGTTTTGTTCATTGAAAGAAAAAAAGCCCCGCCCGGCTGGGTCTGTTACGGTTGTTTGCCACCCGGACCTACTAGTTCCAACTTTGGCACATTTATTCAGCTAGTTTTAACCGATGGCTCCTGTGTTTGTCATGAACTAAAGAAAGTGGTCTGTTAAAGACTAAAAAGTCGTATAAAGTGCATAAATTTCAGCTGTACTTGGTAGAAATTACTAAGAGTTTGACTATCCGTAGCCCCCTTTTGGGGTGACTGGCGCTTTTCATTCAAATTGGTACCCTAGCCTAGAGGTGTCGCACCAAACAGGCTCAAATATATCAGAATGCGGGAACGATCAGAAAACAGGCAAACAGTGATACAAAGAAATCACACGAAGGTAGGATCTGTAGGGTCTCATGAGCTACAGTTGCAAGTAGGGCACTCCAAATATGTATGACGTCATCGAGTGCCACGTAGACAATGGTTGTAACTTGTTACAGCACGTAAAGTATCAAACACCCTTCCCACTATGTTATCAGTCCTTTATTAATTTATTGAGTTCATAACGTATATAGAATTGTATCACGTTTTTTTTCATACTCTGTTTTTTTTTATATATATTCCAACACGTAATCATATATAGACGTGGTGACGGCATACTCAAGTTTTTTTTCAACTTATATTAATGCCGACACCAACACAGGGGACAATACAATACTCATTTTCACCTGAGCGAAGTGAGGAAAGTTGTGTAAAAGTGAATTTCCCAAGGACAGAAGATCCGTGACATGTCAGGACCTGAACCCGGGACCTCTTGGTTCCGAGTCGAGCACTCTGCCGTTGCGCCACATATTCATATAATATATATATATTGTTCTTTTCGATTTTGTGTCAAGCAAATACTCCCATTTTAAGCATTTGAATAGTATAGAGAAATTTATATTCCTTGTAGTCTTTAACAAACCAGCTCTAACTACTCATACAGCCAACTACATTTATAAGATTACCAGAAAGCGAGAGGAAGTTGAACGTACTTGTGTACTATAGCCGTTTTATTATCAACATTGATGATGTACTTTGTCTATATGTGACCTGTCTTTAGCCCAGTGGGGCAAAATGTACAATAAAGGTCTTCATTCATATTCTACATACTCTTTAGAAAACTTGACGGGCTACAGAAGTTACAACGTGCTCGACTGTAAATAACTAACTCGAATCTGTGCATGCCATTCTTTGCTATTTTTTCTTTTCAGAATGTCCGGAAGGTTACGAAGAGCTCGAAGGGCATTGTTACTACTTCTCCACGGAGACGGAGACTTACTCCGGGGCCGCCGCCTTTTGCGAGGCGCAGGACGGACGTCTGGCCACCCCCGACTGTCACGACGAACACGCGGCCGAGTTCTTCTACAGAACAGTGTGAGTGGGGGTTAACGTTATAGAAAGTTTATTGCAAGTTCATGCCCGTAGGCTAATTGTAATTATGACAGAAATGAAAACTTGTGCCGAGAGTTAGGGAAAAAACTATAAAAATCAGCTCTCTACCATCACTGGCTCCCTCAGACAAGAGGCGAAGTAACAGGGAGGTCAACAAGGCAAAAAAAACTCGACCCTATTCCAGCACGTGCGAAGCGCTACTTCAAGAGCCCCTTGCCCTATATAGTAAAACTTCATGAGTTGTAAACAACAATTAATGTATTATGTCTTTTATATGTATAGTTTTATATTGTAGAGATCGCAATTCAATTTTATGTACGTATACATTCCCAGCTAGAATGATATTTTAAAGTTGCTAAGTTGGGCACTAATGTAATGAAACATGCAATTCAGCCTCCGGGCTGCAAAATGTTTTATAATCAATAAACCTGTCATCATTACATGTAACATGAAAATATAGGATGGACAACAGGATGGGTAACAATATAGTACGTGACTACTCTAACTACTAAACACTAACTTCTAACTTATAGGGTTTGACTTCTTTTTCTGGGACAGTGCATGGAAGACGAATTAATGATCCCACTTTTCTATAATGTGTGGGTTTTTTTTTTATTCCAACATGCAATCACCAGACGCGGTGACGGCACACTCAAGTTTTTTCAACTTATATTAATGCCGCCACCAACACAGGGGACAAATACATGACAGGACAATACTCATTTACACCTGAGCTAAGTGAGGAAAGCCGTGTAAAGTGCCTTTCTGTGGGTTTTGCGATGTTGTATACTAAAGAAAGGGAGGCAAGAAATATGGATGTAGATTTGAGAGTCAAATTGCGCCAAATTGCCCACCGCACACAACATACTGGGTCCGTGAAATGTATGTAACACAAAATATGAATGATGTCAAAGTGCGACGTCTGTGGGGTCGTGTGGCGTAGCGGCAGAGTGCGCGACTCGGAACTTAGAGTCCCGGGTTCGAGTCCTGACATGCCACCGATCTTGTGCCCTTGGGAAAGGCACTTTACACGATTTTCCTCACTTAGCTCAGGTGTAAATGAGTATTGTCCTGTCATGTATTTGTCCCCTGTGTTGGTGGCGGCATTAATATAAGTTGAAAAAACTTGAGTGTGTCGTCACCACGTCTGGTGATTACATGTTTGAATAAAAAAAAAAGTGCTACGTCATCAAACGATTAGCGATAAATATATTTGATCGAGACAGACATTACAGGCCGTCTGGGGACAATGACGTCACCTCTTATATTTATGATTTGTAGATTTAGTAGAGCAACGCGACCAAAGAATCGTTACGTTTGAAAGTTTAAATTTATTTAATTTCTTCACTCTGGTAAGCTCGGAATTTTTGCCAGATAGGAGACTAGTGTATCCAACAAGTACCGAATAAATGGTTTTCAATCATTGTACACATGGTTTTGATTCAGTAGGAACTATCACATCTAAAAGGAATTAAATACATCACTCCATCAAAGTAAACGACAAAACATTAAATCAGAGCCTTGTCTTTTCTCCTCTCTTCATATATTTATGTGCCATCCACGTTCCGGCTTGGCAACAGACATCCATTTTTTGACATGTTGACCACTGTCTGACAAGATGACAAGGGCCCAAGGATCACTGTCAGATACTCATCAGAGGGCAACAAAATTTTACATTCTTTTTCTCCAAAATCACGCGAGAATTACTTGCTGTGGCCTTACTGAATCAAACTGACAAACTATTACTTTATTGACTATTCTGTGGACATTTGCTTATCAGGTGTCCAATCTTTTGATCATTTCTAGCTTCGCAATGTCGGTTTAGGCTATGCGAATGCAGCTGATGTCTCAGAAAAAACACCGAGACACCATTAGAGGGAACCTGTATAATTGTTTAGGCCATGTTGATTTGATTATATGGATGACATCCTCTGGGAACCCCAAAACTGATGCGCGCGTGCGAATAAAAAAAAGTTTTGACAAAAAAAAAAAGTTGCTTTCACTATGAAATCTACGTGGTCATGAAGGTTGAACGAATGGCACAGAATATGTTATGGCGAATAATCTACTCTTCGAATTCATTTATTTTTCCTTTGATTTTGGCATTCTACGACATTGGTATCGTTTCTAAATGTTTTCCTTGCAACTTATGGTATATTTTTGCTCATTTAGCAACTGTTTTGCACGATTTACAGTATGGTTGAAAACTTTTTTTTTTGGAAACGGCCGAAAATTCATGCGCGCGCGGATGTCATCCATATAATCAAATCAACATGGCCTTACTAGAAATACGTAGTTTGTGGACTGAATACCGACTATAACTTTTTTTTCCTCACGTAGTGCCTGGATCAGTCCCAACACTGAGGAAGACTGCGCCAGAGGACACCACACACCAGAGTTCAGTAACATGTTTTTTTTTTTTTTTGTGATACAATTTGTTTCATCTAATGTACTAATTGTCAATAGTTCTTCAATCAGTCTATACCACTGGACAAAAATTGTGAAATTGCAGAAGTTTTGCTATGTCCGGCACCATTCTTCAATGATCATACAGATTGATTAAAGCAACATAACTGTTCGTAACATGTCTTATGTTACTTGTAACTTCACCTTTTATAGTAATGTTATGAAGACTAGAAAGGCCGACATTTGCTCGGGAGCAAATGCAGCAGATGGCTTCTCCACCACATCGCCCCAAAATGGACCTATCCCCCTCCCGCACAAATGGACTGTTCCTAAATCACCCCTGTCCAAAAACGTGAAGTGTTACAATTGAATAGTCTATACCCCCATATAGCAATGGAAGTATAATAACAATACATACACATATACGTAAAGATGATAACAATACATGTAATGACTAGCACTGCACTTGACGAACTTGGAAAATATTCTTGGGAACTTAAAAACTATAGTGTGCATATATCGTGTATCCCAAATCTTAGAACATAGCCCGGAATATTCAAGTGTTCATACGTTATTCTACATAAACAAGTCATCCGCCGAACTACCCATGTGATATGTGGTTGTTTTATCTGGCCGGTTGTCACTACAAATAGGCAGTGTTTACTGATGTCAGTCACCGCATTGTCCGACTTGTTGATGTCAACTCGACCTACATCAGAGCCACACGCCGACTGACTTGTCTGTACCACACAAACGCTACAAAAAGACATTTTTCACTAGTGTGAAATGGGTTTTATGACAGTCAGAATCCGGCTATTTTATTGTAATGTGAAAGCGAACACACCCATAACAAGAGGAGACGGTCAGCTTTGGCAGAATATACAAAATTTACTGATTTCGAGATAATTCGGCAACACGCCTTTTAAAATATCACAAACAAATTCTTTGCAGGACATAAACACACGTATGTATCATAGAGAGCATTGAGTATGTATTATATATAGTAACAATATACCGGAATTATTGATAAGAATACTAGCAATCTGAGATTAATTTTCTGGGGATCAAACGTGTGCAAATCATAGAACCTGTTTTTCTGTTAGATCCACACGTATTTGGAACAATTTGCCATATCATGTACAATCTGCATCTGAGTATGTATGTATGTATGTATGTATGTAAGTATGTATGTATGTATGTATGTATGTATGTATGTATGTATGTATGCATGTGGCATTTTTGTAAATTTGCAAACAGTTTTCATTGATCTGTTATGTAGTTACATTGTACCTTCGCCAGAACGTTATATTTTGGTAGCGTCTGTGTGTCAGTCACCGCATTGTCCGACTTGTTGATGTCAACTCGATCTACATCAGAGCCACATGCCGACTGTCTGTTGTCTGTACCACACAAACGCTACAAAAAGACATTTTTCACTAGTGTGAAATGGGTTTTATGACAGTCAGAGAATCTGGCTATTTTATTGTAATGTGAAAGCGAACACACCCATAACAAGAGGAGACGGCAGCTTTGGCAGAATATACAAAATTTACTGATTTCGAGATAATTCAGCAACACGCCTTTTAAAATATCACAAACAAATTCTTTGCAGGACATAAACACACGTATGTATCATAGAGAGCATTGAGTATGTATTATATATAGTAACAATATACCGGAATTATTGATAAGAATACTAGCAATCTGAGATTAATTTTCTGGGGATCAAACGTGTGCAAATCATAAAACCTGTTTTTCTGTTAGATCCACACGTATTTGGAACAATTTGCCATATCATGTACAATCTGCATCTGAGTATGTATGTATGTATGTATGTATGTATGTATGTATGTATGTATGTATGTATGCATGTGGCATTTTTGTAAATTTGCAAATAGTTTTCATTGATCTGTTATGTAGTTACATTGTACCTTCGCCAGAACGTTATATTTTGGTAGCGTCTGTGTGTATGGATGTATGTATGTATGTTTAGCAAGATAACTCAAACGATGGATGGATTGTCATGAAACTTAGTAGGTGCATGGGTTTTGATGAGTCCTAGCAAGGAGGTCCTTAGTTCTAAAATTATTAGATTTTGGGCCCCCTGGCGGCTTGTTATGGTGCTGCAGCAAAAATGACGGTTTTGATATCTGGTGACCTGGACATAATAGGGTCACGACGTTTAGATGGTCAGTAGCTCTTGTGCTCGGGAAGAAGAGATTTTAACAGGGAGGATAACTCAAGAACCCGAACTGTCGTTAAGATAACGGCGTAAATAAATAGACTCCAATAATTCAAGAAACTATGCAAATGAAGATTATTTGCATATTCTAAAAGAATCTTCAGTGGTAAATGTTACCATTATTTGGCGAAGGTGTAAGGTCACTCAACTTGACCAATTTCTATTATTTCCCTACAACACGTACATTGGAGTTTGGTAGAGACTAGGTTGACTTGCTCAAAATGCAGTCGTTTGAATAATTAAACTCATTTAATTTTTTGTTCACTTTTGTTGTTTCTGTTCAGGGACCAGCTGCCCTTCATCTGTGTACATGCACCAAGTAAGTAAAGCATTTATACAAGATGGAAATATTTTTCTGTAGTATAATAGGGCAATGTATCATGCCGTTCCTGGTCTTATCTTCTATAACAACTATTAGTCGCCACTAGGCCTTCCTAAAGGGGTTAGGATGGGTACAACCTATAAATAACTACATGTAGAACCAGCAGCCTACAATGCCAAATAAGCAACCGTTTTCCGTCAGCGACATTGAAATTTTGCCTCTCAGATATCAGTATGTGATAAGGTTGAATCATTAACAGAGTGACCAGAAAACTGACTTCGAACATTCAGTTTTGTAGCCCTGAAATTGCATTGAATGACAAGGGATTTAGTACCTTACCTTACAGTAGCATGTGTGCCTGCGAGACACGAGAGCGCGTCAATCCGTATCTTGACTGACTTACATGTAGGACCTATATATCCGTATCCGACCGTCTCACAGCGTATACGTATACGTATGACAAGCCAGAGTCGGGTATACTAGTAATGGGAAAGTTATTTTATGCACACAACGATTTGTTTGACACAAGCCGACGTTTCGATCATCGCCTGCCATTTTCGTCAAGGCTGTAATGACTGGTTGACTGTGCACTGAAGCTAGCAAGGTACACAGCATTCACAGCGAACCAGTCATGTTAGCCCTGATGAAGATGTCCACAGACGGTCATGGAAACGTCAGCTCGTGTTAAGCAAATGGTGGTGAATAAAATAACTTTGGTATTCAAACATTCATCAAGCTGATGAAATAATTATTTACGGAAGTCGGATATAGCTAGCCAGAATGGTTGCTGGCAGACGGTCTGTCTGGACGTACGTCTGGCTTGCGCGCGCCTGTGTTGATACAACGGTACCAGGTCCGGGTACATGCAGGTACACGGTCCGGGTACATGCCCGTAAGGCCGTAGCCAAGACGAGTTCGGGGCTTTTCCGAAGAAACCCCCGCCACATAAGGCTTAAAGGTCCACTTTTTATCTAAAGGTTCAAGATTTTTCTTTAAAATGTTTACTGATTTGTAAACCAGCGGGACTGGAATCCTATTTGTCTCTGAGTTTTCCCTTGAAATCCTCTCCAAAACGCAGGAAAAAGGCTATTTCAGAAGGTTCGATTTTCAAAAATTTTCGGGTTTGCATGCCCCAGGCCCACCTAGGCATTTGCCTCGCGCCTACAGGGCTCGCTGGTCCCTCGAAGAACTCCCTCCAACAAAATCCTGGCTACGGGCATGTGGTACATGTACGAGCGTACTAAAAGGTACACGGGTCATACATTCGACACCTACGGAGTGATCTGTATGTCTTGTTCCGCCTTTCTACTAGAGGCGGATGCCATCCATATAATCAAATCAACATGGTCTTACAAGCAAATAGATGTAGATGTAACTCCAGTGACGTCCGTGTTGCTATCCCAGCATGCGACACGCCGCCTGTTCATGAGAACACGGTCATGACGGAGTGTGAGCCGCCCTACGATCAACACGAGGGATGCCACTACGCATGCGTGCCGGGGTACCACCTGTACGAGGGCAACGAAGTGTCATCCATCGCCACCTGCCTGGACGGAAACTGGCACGGACCCTACATGACCTGTAAAGGTACGGACCCTACATGACCTGTAAAGGTACAGACCCTACATGACCTGTAAAGGTATGGCCTCTACATGTACATGTCCTGTAAAGGTACGGCCCCTATATGTCCTACATGCCCTACAAGTCCCAGTAAACTAACTGGACCTCTGGGAAGAGGACATTTCCAGTATAAATAAAGGATATTGATTGATTGATCGATTGATTGATTGATTGATTGATTGATTGATTGATTGATCGATCGATCGATCGATCGATCGATCGATCGATCGATCGATGGATGGATGGATGGATGGATGGATGGATGGATGGATGGATGGATGGATGTTAACTCAATCAGGTATGATCAACAATGGCTACTAAATGTTACGAGTAGACATAGTCAATGACTACATTAAAGATTGTTTAGATTTTCGTTAGATTTTCGTCAGCTCGTCACTTATTTTCCCAGAGGGAGCCTAAACCTTAGTCCCACCATTGCTGGTATTTATATCCCCTTAATGTGTCTCTGTCTTCCCAGCGGACTGCCCGGTTCCACCTTTGAACCCGGGAGTGACGATGAAGGGCGCAAGCTGCCAGGCTCCCTACATCAGCGGCGACATTTGCTTCTTCGAATGCGAAGACGTGCAACAGCCGCTAGAGGGCGACCATGACATGTCGTGTTTGGATGGCGGATGGATCCATGCAGTCACAGAACTGCCTGGGGTCCCTCTCGTCTGTAAGGGCCAATTTTCTAAAATCACTTTTCTTCTTTTCTTTCCGGCCAGCCTGAGAATAAGGAATAAATGAATTATGAACAGTTTTTCTTGTATATTGACCGATATTACATAAGACATAAGAGTCCCCCTCCTCATCCTTCTTTCTAAAGATAAGTCCCTTGTTTTAGGTCCTCTCCTTACTATTCAAAGCTATAACAGGGTACCCTATTTTAAGTCCTTTCCTTGCTAAAGCTAAAAGAAAGGACCCTGTCTCCATGTATTAGGTCCTTTCCCTACTAAAGACGAGCCCCCTGACCTGTTTTAGGTCCCTGCCTTACTTAGGCTCAGTCACCTGTTTTAGGCCCTCTCCTTACTAAAGCTTAAGATGAGCCTCCTGTTTTAGGTCCTCTCTCTACTAAAGCTAAAGATAAATCCCGTTTTTAGGCTCTTTCTTTACTAAAGCTAAAGATGATTCCCCTGATTTAGGTCCCCTCCTTACTAAAGCTAAAGATGGACTCCTGTTTTAGGCCCTGTGCTTACTAAAATGAAAGATGAGTCCCCTGTTTTAGGTCCTCTCCTTACTAAAGATGAGCCCCCTGTTTTAGGTCCTCTCCTTACTAAAGATGAGCCCCCTGTTTTAGGTCCTCTACTTACTAAAGATGAGCCCCCTGTTTTAGGTCTTCTCCTTACTAAAGGTGAGTCCCCTGTTTTAGGTCTTCTCCTTACTAAAGGTGAGTCCCCTGTTTTAGGTCCTCTCCTTACTAAAGATGAGTACCCAGTTTTAGGTTTTGTCTTTACTAAAGCTCAGTCTCCTGTTTCAGGTCCTTGAGAAGAGCAGCGGGAGCAGCACACCTGGTGGGACAGTCGGAATCTTATCTCCTGTGCGAAACAGCGGCACGAGCGCCACAACAACTGGTGTTCAGAACATGTAGGAAATTTAGCCTCCATTGATGGATGTACTTGTAGATTAATAGATATCATTATGATCGTAAATGACGTGCAGTCACAGAAGTTGTACAAGGAATTTTTGTCTAATCACATAAATCATGAAGGTGATTATGATTACAAAATGTAGCCTCAATTACCATTCATCCACGGACGTATATCCACCACCAGGCTTTTGAAAAAAAAAGAGACTAAAGAGGTCTGAAAGGCTACACCCCCCAGTATATTGCACTCCTGCACTGTGAATACCTGGGGAGGGGGGTTGCCTGCAGAAGAGATCCCTTCTAAAGGTTACGGATTTACGCAGCCCAGCTGATAGTGAATCCAAGCCTGAGACTGGTAAATTAGTCATTAAATTGCCAGAAACAAATCCAGTGTCTGTGATTTCTTGTATACGTGTATGCCGTTTAGTCAGAACGATATATTTAGTTATTCTAGGGACAGAATTAATTTCACTAAATAGCCTACTAACAGGATAAGTTACATCGGAAACACTGAAAATGTCTTATCATAAAATGCTAATATTGTCCCTTACATTTGACCCAAATCAGTCATTAGTGCCATGAAGAAGTGCTAATTTTTTAATGAAATAACACTAAGAATTAACTCTTCCACATCTGATGACCACAAAGATTATACAAAGATAAATGATAATATATAGGATATGGTATTCAAGATAAATGATAATATTCACGATATGATATTCTTCATAACAGCTATTTACAATTATTCAAGTAAATAAACACAAGGCCCGGAAGTGAAAACACCCCCCCCCCTCACAAGAATGGGTGATGCATGATGGGAGCTGGCGGGACAACGATGTTATTGAGTTCGTCTCGTCATGCCAATCACAGAAATGTTTTTTAAATGAAATAACACTAAGAATTAACTCTCCCACGTCTGATGACCAATATAAGTTATACAAAGATAAATGATAATATATGATATGGTATTCGTCATAACAGCTATTTACAATTATAATAATATTCAACTAAATATAAAAGACAATCAAAGAAACGTGCATTACTAGACAGGCCTGGTAAATGTTGCAAAATCAGCCCTCCTCCAAAAAACAAGACTGAGTTAGATCACATCTACATCTATACACATCAAGAGGAGTAATGTTTATGACACATTTTTAAGCTAACTTTAAATGAGTTATCAAACATGAGAAATTAATAGTAGTATCTACCTTTTGCATTGAACAGACCCATACATAAAGTATTGAGCTGCGAAAAGAAGAACACTAAGTATTGGCCCTCCCACATGCAAACACGCAAGTGATAAGGAATCACGACCTGCTTCACCAATATATATTAAGTTATAATTAAGTTATCAATGATAATATATGATATGGTATTCGTCATAACAGCTATTTACAATTATTCAACTAAATATAAAAGACAATCAAAGAAACGTGCATTACTAGACAGGCCTGTTAAATGTTGTAAAATCAGCCCTCCTCCAAAAAACAAGACTGAGTTAGATCACATCTACATCTATACACATCAAGAGGAGTAATATTTTATGACACATTTTTAAGCTAACTTTAAATGAGTATGAGAAATTAATAGTAGTATCTATTTTTTTTGCAGGGAACAGGCCCATACACAAAGTATTGTGCTGCGAAAAGAACAACACTAAGTATTGACCCTCCCACATGCAAACACGCACGTGATAAGGAATCACGACCTGCTTCACCAATATAAGTTATACAGAGATTAATGATGATATATGATATAGTATTCGTCATCAACACCTCTTTACAATTATTCAAGAAAATATAAAATACAATCAAATAAGAAACGTGATTACAAGAGAGGCCTGTAAATGTTGCAAAATTAGCCCCCCCCCCCCCGCTCCAAAACGAGACTAAGTCAGGTTCTTCATTTATACACATAAGGGAAGCAATGTTTTTTTAATGTTTTCTTACACATTTTTCAGCTAACTTAAAATAAGTTACAGATTCGCAACTATGGAAAATTATTAGTAATATCTATACTTTGCATTGAACAGACCCGGCTACGAAAACCATATAATATAATACAACACTAAACCATAAGATCGAATCTGATGGAAAATATAACAATGGGTATCTGAATGCTTCTTGTTCAGCAATCTATCCATATCATACATGTTTATATCAAAACACTGCAACCCAATGCATACTTAACTCAATGTGATACCATTCATAAACCACAGACAAGCACTTCAAAATAACGTTGTAAAAGAAAATTTTGCTAAAATCACGTTTTGACAAGCTTTTGGACACCATCAGGTGTGTGTCCAAGGCTGATGTATGCAAACACTTGAAGACATAAGACTGCATATGATAGCTTAGATGGTCTAGATCAATTTAGATGGTCTCTTTTTTGCATGCCGCGAAGTGCCATTTTCTGACGAAGCTTGCTCTGGAACAGCCGTCTGTTCGTCCTTTGTTGCTGTTCCAGCCGCTCGTTGTCAGCAGCGTGCTGTTCCATCATCTGTTGAGCACACTGCACCATTGCCTGGCTCTCCCCATCCGGTTTTGTCTGTGTTTTCATCCTTCTCGCAGCCAGTTTACTCTTCAGCATGGCTTCGGCACGCCGTCTGCTCTCGTTCTGTGCTTCCTCATATCTGGCTGTGTCTTCTTCGTGAGATTTCAGGAGATTTTCAACTTGCTCTTTGATACCATAGGAAGTTGAAGACGGCATAGCTTCTAACTCATATTTTCCTTCAAATGGATTTTTAGGGATATGTTGTTGGACATCACCATGATCGTGTGGAATTGAGAAAGACTCATACCTTGTGCTATAGGCCAGAATACAGCTTGTGACGTCCAGTGTTTCGTTTAAAGATTCTTCAATCATTTGCAATGTTGCTTTAAGCTCGATTTCTTTTGCCTCGTCTGTAAATGATAGAAATTATGAGAAATTTTAAGTTATACACAAACCTGTAAGTTGGCGTTTTTATCGGGAATAAATCTTTAGTGTTACGTTTATGGAAGTAATACATACAGGTTAACAATGCTCATAGGCAATTCAACTTTATATTACTGAATAAATTACGGAGATCAAACCTCAAAGATCAAAGTGTCCCAAATTAGTTATATAATTAGTCAAGGCAGAAGTTTCATCGTCTAATAATTTAGAACTATAAATCCTTTGTATTCAAAGTCGAAGTTTTGGATTTTTTTCTATTGAAAATGCTTCTACAAACATATCTAAAGCATCCTGCTAAAACAATTTACCTGTTGGGGCATCCTCCGATGGAGGGACATAGATCCCGAACATCCCCTGGAAACTTTTCCAAATATAGTCAGCCAGTTCCTGGTCATGCTCATCGACAATGTAGGCACCAGAGGCAATGGCATCACAGATGATGGTTACTAGGAAGTTGACGAGTAGTATGAAGATAAGTATCATGAAAAAGGTGAAGAAGACCGGGCCCACGTATCGGTTCGATTCTAAGATCTCCTCAGCAAAGAACCTGGAAACATAAACGGCAAATCAAAACGCTGCTGACAGCATGACATTTTAGTAAAACGTTTAACTTTATTCCAACACACAATTGTACAGGGATCAATTTTCAGCGAACACTGTCGCCTTCATCAGGATAATTAATGACCAATCACTATATGTTTGATTTAATTTGTTTGTTCCGTTCTCACTTATTTATGATACACGTGTGTGAAAAGAAGTCATAAGAATAATTGGATTTTAGGAGAACCCACTCGATAAACCCTTAGGTTTCTTGGGTTCTCCCGCACATTTGGTTGTACATAGTCATTACATACTGTTTTTATTTTTATGTGCAAACAGAAACCGTAACTCTCGCGAGATCACGTTGTGAAGTTATTGGTCGTTCATTATCCTGATGAAGGCGACAGTGGTCGCTGAAAATTTGATCCCTGCACAATTGTGTGTTGGACTAAAATTCAACACAGATGAACTTTCAATGATAATATGACAATTTGTTTTCACGTGCTTTATGTGCGTTATTGGACAAACTATGACTATTATATCGGATACAGGCAACGAAATCATAATTGATTTCTATTTGCTAAAATGCAATAGCGAAACATACCTGCCCAGCAACATCTCAAATAAAGCAAAGTTGGTGTGCAGCACATTTGTGTAAGCCTTCATGTGGGTGCCAAACACAAGCATCCCTGTGGTCAAAAATAAAACGTCTTACTTTAAAAACGTCGATCATTCTAGTGCCTCATAACACAAGTACATACTAGTACCACATAACACAAATGCACACTAGTACCTTATAACACAAATGCACACAAGTACATACTAGTGCCTCATAACGCAGGTACATACTAGTCCCTCATAACACAAATGCATACTAGTACCTCATAACACAAGTACATACTAGTTCCTTATAAAACAAGTGCATACTAGTACCTCGTAAGTGCATACTAGTAATGTTATTGATATCACATATAAACTCTTACCCGAACAGCTGAAAGCCATGAAGGCTATAGCGCAGACCATTGAGAAGCCGATCAGGTCGTTCTTCATGGCCCCCGGCAGGGCGATGAAACTGGCGATAGTCTTGCTGAAGCGAACGACTCGGAGTAACGTCAGTGTAGTGATGAACGCTACCATGGCCATCACGGTCTTGAAGGCGTCATCCCACCAAAACGTTAAGCTGAAGTCGACAAACTTGTCTATCCCAAGTTCGCCTACAAAACACGGCAAGGGATATTGTAGTTCATTTTTGTTGTTTATTGTTTTTGCACTTACAAATAAAACAAAAATATAACAATTGAGAAATAAATAGACATGCATAGGGGGACAGGAAACCTGGTCTCTCCATTGTATTACTAAATCAAAAAATAGTAATCAATAATGAAAAGAAATAAACAAAAAATAATAATAATTCAAAGAAATAATGAAATAATACAAATCATCTATCTAAACAAATCAAGAAAGATTAAACTAATTAGACTAGCTGTTATAATCATCGGTACAAACATAAAGTATATGAGTAAATAGTAAAATCAACAAAACAAGGAAAACAAACAGAAACAGGAAATGGTGGTTGGTTAAAGAATAATATCTCCTTTTGAAATATTTTTTTATCATAATAAGGCCACACCAATTTAATTTGTTGGTTCTCGGATTCGCCTCTTCATTTTTTTTCTGATTTGCAAAAAAAAAAATTACTGGTTCTGAATCAACTCAAAAATGCTCATATTTTGCCCCCAACAGTTGAGGAAATTCCTTTTCTTCCTAGTTGTT